TACTAATTTAGTAGTGTTCATAGCTGCGAGGATCGCTTTTATCCCATTCCTATATGATTTTCATACATTTCCAGACATGAATCAATGCTTGTTTCGCATACATGCATTTGGCGTGGCAGCGGTTGTTTCTAACGTTTCCTATGAATTTCTTTAAGGCACTTCGGCACACGGCCAAAACTGATCCCCTTGCGCATGCCATGCATTTGACCGCTGAGTGGTGAAAATCTAACCTTATAAACCTAGTGAAATACGCAAAGGAAATACGAGTTAGGGCATTGGCTTGGTTTGTGATAAACAGTCTCAAAATGTTCTGCCCTCCCTGCTCGGAAGTATTCGTGTTTCTCATTCAAGTGACTGACAAACACCTATGCATAGAAATGAATTACAATCATACAGAATTCTGGCCATTTCTACTAAAAAAAAAAAAAGACCCTTAAAACTGCCAAAATTGTAGACGAGAACAAACCATAACCACATATCTTCCGTAAGTCCATTACATTCCATTTCAATTTCAAAACAGCCATCAATATATTTGTTAAAAACAGTTTCTTATTTTCTCATAAATATATTAAAACTAATCTGGAAGGAAGATCGTCTTTCTTAAATTCACTGTCAAAATTTGTAATTTCGCCTTTAGTGTTGCATGTCCCACTAATAGCCTTCATAATGAAAGTGTAGTGTCTGCTAATCTTCCAGAATACTTGCTGCGCGGGGCTTTTCATACAGTAAAGTTGGTTTGTAGGTTGAAATAAAAATACAGACATGCTTTGCATCCTGGAGTGAAATCTTTGAACAGTTCCTTGACTTTAGAAGACGACATGCCCCTCTGGAATTCCTGTAACCAACAATAACAAAGATTAAAATGCATTTAGAGAATGTAAACAATGGCCAAGATGGCACTCTGCACTGACCCAATTTAGAACTGAAAGAAACTTACAGCTAAGTCCACCAACAGCAGCTGGGATGATTCATAAGCCTCTGGTCCACCCTTGCGATAAAACTCATGGATTTCCTCGCCTTTGAGAGAGCATCTTCAAGAAAAAAATGGCAGGTAAAACATATTTTAGTGAATTTTAGTGTAAGTAACCTTGTAGGTTTTTGCAGTGGGAAAGTATGATATTAATTAACTACTTTAAAATAATCATTTGATGAACCATACTGTGCCATCTAGTTTAATATGAGGATTTTCTTAGCTGTAGACTGCTGCTCTTCATCAGGGCTACAGTTTTAACTATACATCCCCCAGTTTACTCAGCACGATGCTCCCTTGTGGTTGGTAAATTTCATCTGCTATTGTTTTGTTCAGTTTTCTTTCTAGATTTCACTGATTATTATAAACAAGTATTAATATCAGCATGGTTTGAATGAATCACCAAGTAGGGCAATTTAAGATTTGATGATAGGCCTTTCAGACAGACAAAAAGTAAAAACAGAGACCTGATCCTAAAACAAGCCCCAGGTTTCTGTCCAGTGTGGTGATTGCGGTAAATTCCAGTCAAAAGTGGCCAACTGATGTATTCTTCTGGAATATTGACCTAATATTGCATATGAGTGACAAAATATGTTGTTAATCAAAGGATCTTGAAAACTAAGATCAGTGTCTTTTTATTCAAAGGTGATTACTTGTCTCTGTGATCCTTTTCTCTAGATACCAGGTGAAGTTGTCCACCAGAAATTCATCTGGAAAGGATCTTGATTTATCAAACTGAGGTGTTACCCAGGATCAATTTGTTGTACTCATTACTTCCACATTTTCTCTTCAGAGCTGATATCAACAAGGTCAAGTCTATGAAGCCAAGCCTGCCCAAGAACATAACACGGTGATTCAGCCAGTGCTTGGGCCCAGACCCCTTGCTCTGGTGTCCAGCAAGCTAAATACTGGGCCATTGTTTCCCCCTCAAAGCAACATACTGCCAAGAAATTGTAGTAAAATAGTGGGGGTAACCTTCATCTTTATGGCATGGAAACCCTACGAATTAGGAGAGTCTCATTCACACATCTTAATGTGAAGCAGAAGATTTCTATAAGGTGGGAAATGAGAAAATAGATTTATTTCATATAAAACTAACTTCATCTCTGACTTCTCGCACAATAGAATGAAACAACTCGTACACCACTGCCTTGCCATCCATATCTTCAATATCAACCACATTTTTGTTCACAGTTTGTTTATTTGTCTTTTTAACTTCCTGAAAGTAATGAAAGAATGTCTTAGTTAATATTACGAAGGTGAGGTCTCAAAACATCCAAGGTAAAGAATGATCCCAGTAAGTTATTTGAATTACTTTTAAAGTTTCACTTTTTACAATATACAAATTGACTTGAATTCATAAATGTTGGATGGCGTGACAGACTACTGTTTACAAACGAGTGTGGAAGCCCAGTCAAAAGCACTCAACATTTCAATGCAACATCTTGCAACACTGTTGGATCGTGTTGTGGTATGTTGTGAAGGAGCTGGCCAAACGCACAGAACATCTTACAACACCCAAAAATGTTTCAACAAAAATTTGACCATTTTCAAACTTGATCCAACACCATCAAACATCTCGCCTGTTGTTACAGGGTGGAAAAACATGTGCAACACATTGCCCTCGACAATGTAGAAAGATGTTGCATTGAAGTGTTGCGTGCGTTTGGCCGGGCTTTGGACAACTCGACGGAATAGATTGTGACAATCGTAACCAATCAGATTGCATTATTTGCGATAAAAGGCTAGTGGATTTAAAATAAATTAATATCAATTTAATTTTTAACAGGTGAAGTGCTTACACTGGGTTCTGCGTGTCCTCCTGGAGTATCTAAATGACCTGGATCTTCATAAACTTGATGGCTTCTTCTAATAAAAATTAACTTACTGTCACTTGTTTCCACGACAGAACCAACACCCAATGCATCAGAAAAACATGCATGTTCGTTGGCGTATTCACGTTTGCCATAGTCTCTTAAAAACCGCCAGTGCTTGTCATTCATGTTTGTACAAACATAATCTCTATAACAAGTCTGTCCTAACAGAAGAGACACTGAATCTCCGGCTTCGTTCCTTACGCCATGAAGACGAAATTTGGAGCCGTTGAAAAGGAAGGGATTTTTCTCCTTAAGATCAGTCCACGTCTTTTCGATGCTGGCTTCAAATTGGTCATCAGCCGCCATCCTGTCATAGTGATGGGACAAAGAAATTGCCAAGTCTTCTTCTTTCGCACCGCCATTCCAACAGAGTCTGTCGTGATTTCCACTGTTAAAAATCTCTATGAAATGTCCTTCATCTTTACATTTCTCCACAAATGCCTTAAGCTCCATTTCAAGTATTTCTCTTTACGAAATATATAAAATTCTGAGCTCAGGTGAGGGTAGAAGAAGGCTTTGATCTGAACGAGATCTGTTCACGAGCCGCCATTTTGAACAAGCAGAACAGCAGGAAGGCAAGAACATTGATTGGTCAATTTTGGTAAAGAAAACCAATTAAAATAGCTCCTTCGCTCGTTTATGAAATCCAGCGGTTACACCCAAAACTACCATGACAACAGTGGCGCGCGTAACAAAATCACAGAGAAGCAGCCATAGTACATTGGAGAAGGTGGTTGTGTCAAATTTTCTGCAAAAAACATGGACGCAGAAGGTCTTCATATGAATATAGACTATGTAGGAAGCAGTGGCATTATTCTAAGTACAGAGCAGAAGGCAGCTCTACAATCTTCGTTGGTTATTTTGAAAAGTAATTACAAGTTTCGTGTAGTGAAATTTTGGGGAAAGATCTTTGGAGTCAAAAGTGACTACTTCATTGTTCAGGGAGTCGGTAAAGATGAACTGAAGGAAAGAAAAACGCTCTACAGGTATCCAATATAACTTATCGTGGATAAAAATTTATTTTAGTTTTAAGTCGACATGTCTTAAAAAGTGCACGGTTGTGAACTGATCTTCAAAATTGAGATTAATTGCATACTCAATGTATGTCCTTACTGCCCCTGTGCCCGCTGGTATACAGGGAAGCAGAAGAAGTACAATTCGCTTAATTCTAACAGCTGAACATTTTGTTCGGCCACTATAAACGATATTTAGCATTCTCAAGCGTTTAATTGTTATTTAGTCAACCTCCTTTTTAAGTTGAAAACTTCACAATATACTAATGGACACCAAAATAGCCAGGCTATTGAGGATGCACACTTGCGATCCATCCTGGATTAACGATAAATAACTGTGTTACTTATGGTGTTTTCCACAGTCTGGACTGTGTACACTGGGGCTTACTGCCAGTGGTGACAGAGAGCATGAGACATAACTGCTCATTTGTAAAAGGACGCTTCACAGGAGATCCATCATATGAATATGAACACACAGAGACAAAGAAAGCAGAAGGTGCAGATGGTGAAAAATTGGATGGAGCAGAGGAGGAAAACATTGTAAGTTAAGGTTTTATGATGAACAGAAAATTTAATAGGGGTACAAACCTTCAAATTTTTGTGATGTTGGAGTGTCACTTTTTTTGTCCTAGGGCTTGAAACACAGTTAAATGCAAGTTTAAGAAAATGTTCCACAGTACATTTAATAAGTAGTGGGAAGGGCCAAGAATGAATTTAGAGGGGCCAAGAAGGCTTATTCTCATGCATGAAAAGGAATAATAATCATGCCCATCTTTATGAAAGGGGTTTATGGAACCAGAATGTGCTGTGGTTGTAAAGTCAGGCTTCTTAGCTTGTGTGCAAAATGTTACTTTGTGTTGAGGATATTTTTAATATGTTATTCTGTCAATTTTTTAGATTATGATTAAAGAAGAGGACAGGCTGGCAACAACTATTGAAGCTATTGATTATGATGTAAGAATAGTACCCAGGGGAGCTTACTATCGAACAGCTCTTGGCACAGTTGAACCAAACAGAAGCTTTGAAGGTGAGAAGAAGGAGTAAACCACTTGGATACAATTAAATGCTACTTTACTGTTTAAGCTCAGATGCCTCATAATACCTCCTGCAACAATGGTTTTTTGCATGGAATCCTTTAGACAATTCTTTGTATCATTGTGGTATAATTGCTGTTACTGTCTTTGCAAGTATATTAGGTTCTCAGTTAGATGAGCAAATGGAGTTCTAGGTAGTCTTTATTGGCTTTCCTAGTGAAGGACCTTCACACATCATTTTCTTTGCTTAATTGTTAATACATATTAATGAGAATTTTTGGGGGACACAAGTCAATTAACTCTTGAAAAGAAGTTTTATAAATTGGAGACTGTGTATGTTTGGCAAGTCTGGATACTTGAAACTCTTCTTTTACCTTGGATTTAATTCAAAGATGCCTCAGGGTCATAAGGCCTTCCTTTAGTATTGGATTGCTTGTAAAGTTTTAAAGATGGCACCTTTTTCTTGACAGTCAGAGCTTGGTTGAGGTACTCAATAGAATCATTTGATAAATGGTACTTTTATTTTTTAAAAAAAGGTGGAGACCCATTCTTTTTTCTCTTCTTTTGAAAGTAAGGAGAACTGATTAAATATCCTAATTTTCCTAAATATGAATTGACCCAGGTTTGTCAGTGGCAGATTCAGGCAAGCTCTCCAGTTACTTCCATTTCCGAGAGCCATTTCTGCTCACCCAGAAGACTCTTCTTCAAAAGGTTTGAATCAATATTTATAACAATGACATTAACACCTGAATGACAACTAACTTTTTTTGTGGGTGCTTTTTAATGTAGCAAAGTAAAATATGTGAAAGCATCGATTAATTGTAATTAATTTACACATGTCCACTTACAGTGAAGCTTGTTCATACCTTCTTACATGGAAAGAAATTAGAGGTCGATTATTCAAATATTGATATCATAAGTTTCTTCAATAATCCACCTGTCTAGTAAAGTGAGGTTGATTTTTTTCTTGTAGGCTGAATTGGATAAAGCTATTGACTTCCTTGATCCAATTGATACTGATGTACCAAAAGGAGGTAAGTCTTACCTCTGGAGTAACCCCGGCTTGTAATTTTAAGGACCTTCTAATGGCTGCTTGTTCCCTTTTATATTAGCTGATCGATTACCGTCGGTATCAAAATCAATCAAGTATTATCTATTTTTGTTGACTTTTGAAATTATTGACATGTTACACTTGGTCTGGTATGTTTTTTTAAGGAAAAGAAGACCTTCTGGAAACTGGGATATACACAACTTTCTCTGAACTGCTTACTCTGAAAATGACCAAAATTATTCGCCTTCTCTATTTAATACTTATAGTAGTGTTGGTTTGTGTCCTCTCCAGGCTCGTGGAGTATCCAGTTTGAGCGTGGGAGTGGCTTGGTTACCCTGCGCAGCCTACACTGGTTAGGTTTTGCTTTCTATCATGTACCAGGCACACGAAAGTATGGATCAGTGTATGTTGGTGTTGGTACCAAAAATCTGGATCTTCCTTTTATGCTGTGAAGGGACAACTTCATCCACAAGTTTTATGTATTATAGTGTATTTAATGATATTCACACACAAATAGTAAGAACAACTTGAGTGCAGTTGTAATATTATTGTATTCATCAACACTTTGTGCTTTTTGAAACCAATAAATATTTTTTGCAATCATTGAGGCAAAGAAAGAAGAAAGCATCTTTACATGTTGTGCTATCATTTTTATTTGAGTCATCTAAAAGCTTTTCAGGTATTTCAGTCATGCAGAACCCATACAAAAAAAATTTAAATGAATTTGTTGTTATTTGAATGACATTTTACCAAATAAGCATACTATTATCCTTACGTTGTTTGCAAAGATTGATGAAATCACTGCTTATAAGTGAGTCTGTTGTCATTTAAAAAACAGAATAAATATAGTATTCTGCTTCCATTTTTTCTTGGAGAATATTTCCATGAGGCAAAAAAATAGGTCAGCAGGTCTTTCTGAGGACTTCTCTTTTACCACCAGAGTAAGACTGGGCTTGTCAATTGTGAAAAACATGATTCTGATAAGACATCGTATTCAGCTGGATGCTGATCCCAAAGTGACCAGTGACTCAAGTTTGTGATTGACTTGTGACTTTATTCCTGAGCCTGCTTTTGGCTTTCCAGCTCTCTTATCAGGATTGGTGACAGTTTAGGAAGAACCCCTGCAAATAAAACATATTTCATGCTGTTATTTTAAAATCATTATAATAAACATTACCTTCAATCATTTGAAATGCAAGTTACACATAAAACGTTGTCTTTCTTGAAAGGAGTTCATAAAATCTGTATTTGAAAGCAATTTTACAGCCAGGGTTCTATGAAATAAATCCTTCGATTGGCACTAAGAGGATTCTCATTTCAAATTCAGGGGTGAGGCCAGTTATTCAAGGGGGCACTCAAGTTAGAAAAGTCATCTATCTAATGACTTTTTTCCAAAATGTTCACCCATATTTTTGTAGAGTGTACAACATGCAATATCTGCAGTTAATGAATAACCATATACCAAGCTGATACTAATGTTTTTAAGACCCAACACAGGGCATTTGTACCAGTAGCTATTTTTTCAAACCTAATGAAAAGTCAAGTTCTAAACTGG